CATCCGATGCTTCCCTAGACGTTCGCTGAAAGCTGAAAATGAAATGATAGTTGCATGCAAATACGCCAAAATTCAAAGAAACGAGAGAGACGGGATTTCGTTCAAGTACCAAGGCTTTAATGTAGCGAACTTAATAATACATATCTTTCAATAATGCACACAAATCACTATATCAACCAAAACATGATATTTGAATAAAGGCGTAAAGAAGTAAGCGAATAGCAAAGAAAGAAAAAGTAAGCGCTTAAGCGATAACAAATATGCATCTAAGCCAAAATGGTAATGTATTTGAAATAATAATCAACGTGATGCATTGAAGCAAATAATAGTGGAACATTTAAGCTATTTTAAATCAAGCATTGAAGCCAAGTGCATCGGTGCATTGAAGCACGACACGAATTTATGGCGGATTCCCCGTTGGCACCAGAAAGATCAAGTGTTTCGACCAAGCCAGTACCAAAGGAAGAACGTACATGTAACTTTAAAAATATTTTTTTGGTTTCATTTCATACAATAAACGAAGTATAAACATTTTTTTGATAGAATGACCTGTACAGTGTATGTTGCTATAAATCATCTGTTGTAGGTTTTGATACATTAAATGAGTGACAAAATTCATCTTCCAGTTTAAGAATTCTATTTATAAAACAAAATTTATGATTTCTGTTATTCATATCCAAATCTTTTAACGAAGGATAAATTGTTTGAACTAAAAAAACAGCACTATGGCACTAGAAATGTCTTAAAAAATGACATCAAATTAAAAAATTGTCTTTACGAAACCCTCCATAACAGCATGTTTTCTTTAGGTGTTGTTAGTTCTATTATCATGCATTTTTCAACTTTTATGTTGCTCTTCGTACTCAATTTACATATCAAAGAAAAAAATTCATAAGTTTTTGGAAAAAGAATTTTTATTCTTTTTCACATTTATTTTTATAAATTGAAAAAAAAAAACTATAATTTGTCATAAAAACCTAGTGTTCCTATTATTTAAAATGATATACACTTAAAATTTTGCTTTATAGGTGCTTTTGAGATGTCAACCATAAGTTTCTTCTGTCATTTTACATAAAAATAATAATTTTTACTATACAAATCATAATCTGGCATTAGTACGTATACTTACTAGAGGCTTTGCCCCCCCCCCCTCCCTGGTCACTACGCTCGTCAACCCTCTTATGTGCATTTGTAAGTTAGATATTACAAGGACTCCAATAATGCCTAATGAATGCTTTATAAAGTCTGTTTCAAGGTCTTCACAAACCCTTTACAGACCTTTTTAATACAGTTATTATTTTCTTACAATGTTATCATTCAAATACAATTTAAACAAATAGATAAATAAAACTCTAAGTAGTTATGAGATAAAATTTTTTTTACGACAAACATTAATTCTTATACCTTCCTTTTTTTTTGTGTCTAGTTCATATCACCGTGCGGTACACACTTAAATGCATCTTTTTGTGTTTATTTTAAATTAAGTCAAGTTTATCTTAAACTAACTTTATAAAGATAATTTAAAAGCCTCTGGACCTGCGATTTGTCATTAACGTCATGTCAATTTTCCTCAAATCATTTAGAATTATCGTATGTCATTTAAAACGTCTTGATCTTGTTTCGTAATTCTTCAAATAGAATTTATTTCCACTTCTCTGATTCAGCACTTTTAAACTGTTAAAATTCTTTATTAAAATTTAGAAAATTCAATCACTAACCATCCACAACCAACTGTACGAAATACGAAATAAATTTATAGTAAAAATTTTGCAAAAAACCATTGCAACATAGCTTAAATACAGAAAACTTTATATAAACATTGATTTATATGTCACATGGCCAATTCTCGTACACGACGCGGCGGGAAAGTAATTTTTCATATATTCATACATACCACCTCTTGCTCCGCCTGTAACCCCTTTCACCTTTTCAACTAAATGCCAAATTTTTGGCAATAACCCAACAACCCCCGTTGCGCACTGGCTAAGTTGGACAGTGCTGTTACCATAACATCATTTAATACTGGTAGAGCATTGGCAAGTGAGCGACATTGTCCCGAAATAATTTTTTTGTTCCTCAGGTCAAAAACTTACAGTTTTTCTGTCGTGCGATTGAACAAGTGTACTTTGAATTTTTCATGCAGTATGTTTATTGTTGATCTTTTATTTGTTTTTTGTTTCATATAGCCAGATCAAGCTGGTATAGCAGACCAGCGAAACGTTAGGACTAATAAATATAAACTTCAAAAAAACACTCTCGTTTTGAGATATTATTTCTATCTTGCCCCCACCCCCAAACAATCGATTAATTTCATTTAACATCATATAACAATGTAGGGTCACAATTGCGATTAATGAGTTACAATCAAAGTAAAACTTTTGTAGAATCTACTTGCAATGTTAATGCAATTGTTACATCTTATGTCATGTACTTGATATTAATCACTTTACAAGCCATATTTATGTTCTAAAATCATAAAAAGTGAATGCTCAGCGATCTTTAAACATCGAGCTGTATACCTGCTTCCGCAATCGCATGACGTATAACTCACTTCTTTTGAAACGAGCTACCGTTTCAAAACTCAAACTACGCGTGAAATCTCCCAAAAATTTTATTAAGCGCTCATCTTACAACATCAGTTCGCACTACTTTATCCAAGAATGAGAACAATTAACAAATTAAAAATTTTTCACTGCGTAAATCTAAAACAAATATCGTACACAATTTTGACAGCAACTTGTACTTAATATAAAATCTGAGAGATCCACAGCTTCAGGCATCAATTACTGTGTTATTATTGTACCACGACTGTGCTCGTGTCAATCGAGAGTAATTAGGTTAAGCTCCGATTGGTCCCTAACCTAACGTGTCCTCCTTCAATGCAAGAGTATAAAAACTCCTTGCACATACTACTACTCACCTTTTCTCTTTCATTTAGTACTCTAAAGTAACTATAGAAGTTGAAAAGTAAGTTCTGTTTCGTCTTTTAAGCGAGTGTAACACTTAATTCAATGATTACACTGCGATTTAAAAACGTGCATTTTAAGCAAATGTAAGACTTAATTCGGTGACTAAGCTGTGTAAGAAAAGCTCAATAAAACCAGTGCACTGTAGACTCACCTAAAAAGTGAAAGAGGAACAAGAAAGAAAGTACCTTGGACTTAGGTTTCAATGTTAAAAGTAGCAGCCTCATTATCATCATCGCCACGAGTACTCTCGTGTAGGATTAAAATCATCGTTGCGGTCAACCTTGTAAGATTTTGCGACAACGTACGCGCAAGCAGCAACTGACTAACGATTATAGAAATAAGTTAAGATTCAAACAGTAGGTCAACGTCAGCTCGGCGTATGACACACTAACGCCACTCTATACATACCATTCGGTGAAACTAAACACCACAACGACAAGTCAACGATTTTACAGTAAGTAAAAGCAAATAAGGCCTTTTGTCCGACGACTGGTCTGTGACATACCAAAATTTAATTTATTTGTTTGTAGAACGAATCTACGAGTTTCGCCCTTCACTTAGAACTTCAGATGTAATACAATTTACATGAATGTTGTAAGTTTAAGGTACATGGGTCATGATAGGTAACGCCATCTGTTTAAGAACTGATTATATTAAAAAAAAATTCTACCGACGTTAAAGTAGTTTACTGAATGAAGTTGGCTCAACTGCTTGACACACATACGTATGCACATATATCTATTATCTATGAGTGAACTGCATAAAAAATATTCTGCTCGAGTTGTTAACACTCGAAATTCTATAAATTTGGCCAAAACAAGTAAGTTAATTCGTGATCATCTTTTTGGTAACCATGACAATTGTATGGCATGGTGTTCCACGTCGCTAAAAGTACAAAACTATAGAGATACTGTAAAATTAAAAGATATTAATGATTCGAAAGGTGTTGATATGTTTCGCAAATTTTTATCAGAAAACAATGGGCGATCTGCAAAAGTAACCAAAAATTCGAAGAATATAGACAAATTAATCAAACACTTTTCTTCATAGTAAAATTTTGAAAATTCATCTATATCATTAACTTCTTCTACTGTAGCTGTGAATTATGTTGAAAACGAATAAACATAAAAACCATACTGCTATTATTTGAAATGGTTACATATTTCCTTTGTAAATGATCAGCTATATTTAAATTTGCCCGCTTTTTACTACCAACTGTCTCTATGTACAACGAAAATTACAGATTTATTTTCTGCATTTATTTTTACTTTAGATGCAAATAACTCAACAACCAGACACAAGATCTTTTCTAAATTTGAATAAAATAATCTTGAAATGTTAAGCGATAACATGCTAGTTTTTTGACTAAATTTTCTTCTAAGATAAATTTAAAACAGTGACGAACACAACCTACCTTTCCATTAGACGCCATACATAATACAGAAAAAATACTGACTTTAAAATTAAATATCTCTGATATGAGACACAGGAATCATATCATATTTTGACAGGACGTGTATTCTTACTCAAATTAAAACACAATAAATTTTTATTAAGATCTATCGATTTTTTTTATGACTCATGTACCTCAAAAATAAACGAATAACTTGAATAACTTTTCAATACTAACAACAGCGAATTGTCTTTTGAATTGGGTAGTGCACTTATAATAAAAAAGTATTTTCATGTTTCATATTTACTAATACGTATTTGAATTAAATAGAGCAATATGTATAAATAAGTAAAGAGTAAAACTAAATTCTTGGTAATTGCAATGCCCCATGACATTATCTGAATTTTATATCTGCAAAGTACTGTAAATTTTCTACTTTCCCTAATAACAATACAAAAAAAATTTTCTATTAACTTATAATTGACAAAATTTTTTATCTCCTATTTTTTTTACATTTGAAAACAAAGTGACAACTTTTATTATTCTAATTATTCTGAATTTAATTTTTAATGTTTTGTTTTGCATAAAAGTAGTATCAATCAACTTAGTAGAATTTTAGTACAAAAAAAAATACCAACCTTTATATTGTGAGACTGTTTATCTACACAGCACTTTTCCGTTATAGTTTGAACATTAGATTGCTTCAATTCATTCATGGTCCCATTGATCTTAACACCTGATATTTTTGCTCTTAGTTCAGGACTGTAATGATTCGTAACAGCTTCTTCATATGTGTCAGTCCACTTGACCGGCATGGTATTGGAATCCATGTATTTTTGGACATTACTTTTTTTATCATCTACCAAAGTTTTGTACTTTTTTGAACTTTTTTTCGATAATTCTCGTCGTTGCCTTATTACTTGAGTAGAAACTAAATCCACATTCTCTGTCGCTGAAATTGTTGTGCTGGTATTTGATGACAAAAATGTTGGAACCGAAGTATCAGATGCCTCTTTTTTATTACTAGATATAGAATCCAATTGCAGACTATTATTACTTTTTTTTTGTTTATTCACATTCTTGGTGCTATTTTTGATTCGACCAGTTCCAGTTTGACAAAAAATTAACAAATCAGATTTTTTTTTCCGAATGGATTGATATGTCATCGAATGTTGACAATTTTTGGTAACATCACAAGAAACATCTGTATCAGTAGAGTAACATGATGAGCTATCTGATGACGTATCTGAATTCAAAAGTTCTTCTCGTTTCCGCATTTGTAAGGCTCGCGCACGAGCTCGATCCACCCGACGTGGTCTACATTCTTCACATAAATATTCGTCTGGGATATTAGTACGATCAATGCCCATACAATCTACATGTTGCCACACCCTGATGAAACAACAAGAAGTTAATAAGCCAGTTAATTAGAATTTTTGAAGGTAAAAATGGTTATGACGTAATTTATGAGATTGTTTTAAACTCCAAAAGTTTGAGATGTATTTAACATGTAATAAAAAAATTGTGATATGCAAAGAATTATTAATGTATCTTTCATGTTAAATGAGTACCATGCCATGTCTATACTCAAATGTGAAGTTCAATATGTAATTTTATATAATTATAGCCTAAATCTTTAGTCACAGATGGGTAAATTAAGTATGTAATCAGAAATTTTCTGCAACTACGACGAAAATCGTTGGAATCGCTTTGTATTGCGATCAAAATAGTTTTAGCGCATAATTATTCTAGCTTTATTTGTTATGTAACAAATTAGTGAACACAGACAGCATTTTTTTCATCGAATAAAGGTAACTTGTTCATTATCTAATTATCTATTGATCGATGCTGATAAGGTTGTCAAAAACATATTTTTTGCGAAGTTATAGAGAAAAAAAGGTGCAAAAATTACGATCACAAATTTTAATTTTGCAACATTATTTATTTTTAAATTTTTGAATAAAAATTCCTTACATTTAAAAATCTTCAAACACGCACAACGATTTTTGTCTAATATGTAATTAATTGTTTACTTAATAATCGTTTTGTGGCGACATTTTTAATGTTAGACAAAAATCGTTGCGTGTGGTTCAAAATTTCCATAAGAGGTAGAAAATTCAAAATTTTGAGGAATTTCCATAAAAAAATGTAAGAATTAATATTGTTGCAAAATTGGCATTCCAAATGGTGATTCTCGCTCTTTTTTGCTCTGTAACTTAGCCAAAAATCTAATCACAATACGAAGCGATTCTAACAATTTTTATTATAGTCACAAATAATTGCCTACGACCATTTTTTGAGGCATTATCAACCAGCCTATGACATAGGTATACCAGATAATGGTTCACTGTAGATAGATTATCAGGATATAATTTTCATAAATCATATTTCATGGCACAGTCTAAGCTTGTGAATTTATATAAAAATAAAACTACATTTTTAGCCAAAATATTATAGTTATAGGCTCAACGGCTAGTAATACAAGGTGTTACTAATTATGGTAAATAAATTTCCATACTCAATCTTTGTGGTGCAATGTAATATATTAATATTTAGTAACTAAAAGAATAAAAATACACAGAATATAAATCATTTTACAAAATAAATGCAGGTCAGGATGAGGTTTATTTTTTAAGAATTTTGAATACATTTTTTAAGGTTCTGTTCGATTTCCGTTGAATGCCTAAATACTTGGGGACAATTACTGATTACATTTGGTTATAGTATATTTACTACCTTTTTAACTTTTTTAAAGATGTTAATAAAACAGCTGCAACTAGATTTATTTGTAAGGTATATCTAGTAGACCTCTAAAATAGCAATATAGGCTAAGACACTTGAATAAAGACTAAGCACCGTCATTCAATAATATTCATTGAATAGAACGAGATATATTTTACACTGTATATAACCTACCAACCACACTTTAACGTATAAATTCTGTATGATATATAAAATCATGTCGCTTACTCCCATTTCTTAGATGGACAATTAAAAATATACTCGAAGGGAGCAACAGAATGAACGGCTTAAAAAGCAAAGCGAGGTTTTGTGAAAATGAGTATCAGCAGAGCAAGGTAGCCTCGATGGATTGTAAACTTATAATGATTGAGGTCGTACTTAGCAAGTATGAAATCGAACTTTATATCCATTTATGACTTTTTCTTTTATGATAAATCCCATTTTACAGTACTTGTTTGTGCCTTAAAGCAATTTTCAACTATAAAACTTCACTCAACGTTTTTCAATTTCATTAGGTATTTTTCAAAAAATTCAAGAAAATACCATTTTTCGAGCTAGCACGGAGTTTGTGGTTTTGACTTTACCTATTCTCTTGACTCACTACTGGTCATTTGTGTCGCGTGGCGTGCTTGCGATACAATGATGAACGATGGTTAAAGCTACTGACAAACATAATATGCACATACATACAAGGTAATGGTAAAAAAATTCAATAAATATGTTTATAATATATTTATTTAAAACTTATGTAATTCTATATACAGTTTTATAACTTTTATGTACTCATTTAACCATCTGTAAGTAGACTAGACGTTTTGGAGCATTAAACCTGCACTAGCTCAAAAGACAGCATTTTCTAGAATTCTTTTGGCAAAATGATACAAGCTATCGTAACAAAGTTTCAGTAGCATTATAACATAACACCTGCAGGATGTATGGTAATTTTTTCAAGTCAAAATACTATGAAATGTAGCAGTAATTAGAAATAAATATAATTTTCAAGAAATTTAGCATTAAAGTAAGCTAAAACAACCTTTTTTTTTAATTGTACGTGTTTAATACGACAAATAAAATTATACTGATCTAAAGGAAACATTCAAAAATATCTGAGGTATTTGCATCTGTTTATGTTCCAAATAGCTTTATCATAGTCAAATCGTCAAAAACAAAAAAAATTTTTTTTATGTTCAATTGTGCATTAGACTCATTGTAATATGATCATCAAAGCTTAGTAACAATACGTTGTGCCGATCTTCTGATGACCTCAAAGTTTTACTTAAAAAACTTAATTTACAAAAAACTACGAAATACTCAACAAATCTACAAAATGGTTTTTGTAAAGTTAGTCATAATATATCTAAAGCAAGTTAATGTTGTATGTCCTAATGGCATTCATAAATGCTCAAAATTTTTAATCGATGTTAAGAACAATTCCATTGATTTCGGGCCACTAGGCGTGGGAGACGCATTTTTTCAGTGGAGGACGCTCTGTTTAACTCGCTCACAGAGGGAGAGAAGGTACTTTAAAAAAATATTAACATAGGTTAATCGGTAGATTTTAATTTGCTCTTTTTAATAGTGCAGTCAGTTTTGAGATTAAAAATTTTTTTTCATCACCGTTCGAAAGAGCAAGTCTTAAACTACAATCCCTTAAATTTACAAGTTGGGAGGGAAAAAGGCAAACGAAAAGATGAACAATCAAAAATCACCGTAAAAAAAACCGTAACGCTTGCGGTTGAACGTCATCTTACACCTTCACCGCACATCGGCTGCTCTATGAGTTAGAGGTATAAGTATTTTTCTTCGTGCTTTGTAGTAGTCAACTAGAGCTAATTTAGTAAGGTTCATTGTGTATTCATCATTTTGAAAGTTAGGTTTTCGACGACTGTTTTGTCTTGTTCGTGCGTAAATATGACATTCTCAACAAAGTGCGTGGCCCAGAAATTCTTTGCACCGTTAATTTTTGTGATGAATACCTAACCTTGATCAAGCTCTTATAATTTCATAATATATCCCAAAATCCGTAAGTATTAAGTACTTTGTCGAACTTTGGATAATCTGTTAAAATCACTTCGTCTTATTTATGTAGATGATGCACTTTTTTTAGGCAAAATGCAGTGAATTTTTAAAAAAAGACGAACTACACCTTCGGTGAAAAATGACATCCTTTAGAAACTCGGAGAAGCCACGGCAGATAGATCGTAATCTATGTTAATGTATGAAATCGAGTAACAAGCTTCTTAAAAATCGTGTATTAACCAAAGTGACAGTTATTTCATGGAGCTATTTGAAAGAGTATATAATTTCGTGATCGCTAACAGAAATTCACTTTTTCGACATAGAAATTTTGTGATGATTTTGTCTAATCGTTCGAGTCTGTTCTGGTTTTCTTTGTTCATGGCTAGGTCTTATGACTATTGTCTCACTATTTTAAATTTATATTTTTTCTCTTTATGCTTTTTTGATAATTGAAAAACAATTTTCTGAATTTTGACGCCCGATTCACCAAAGTGCAAAACTTTCAAAAAATGCCGTTCAAAAATGTTTTGAGCCTTATAAAGGTAACGTCGTACACTCGAGAAATCTACGATCTGCCCCTGAGAGTATACAAAAATTCTTTTCTACACTATCCTAGAGTGCCCTGATTTGCGATACATGTAGAAAGAAAATGTTGAAAGATTATTTACCTTCACCTGATTTTTTTCCAATAAAAAATTTGAAACTAAAATTACTTGATCGAAGTATTACAAAACTAAAAAAACGCTATTTCTCAAATTATTGCCCGCGATGTGGAGCGTTTGTCAAACTGAAAATTTTTTAAATTCTTCATGATGGTCAGTGGAACAATCTAGACGTGTGGAAAATCATGATACTTTTAAAGCTGATTATAAAACTTTGCCCAACGATCTCCTTGAAAAAGTAAAAAATCACTTTGAAAATGACGAAAATAGCAGAATAATGCCTAGAATGAAAGACACTAAAAGTGTAAAAAATGAAGATGTCAGTAAAAGTTACTTTCAAAAAAGATTCATTTAATACAGTCTTAAAGAGTTCTATGTTAAATTTAAAGATGAGAACCCTAATATTAAAATTGGTTTTAGCAAATTTGCTACATTGCGCTTACAATATTATGTACTAGCTGGTGCAAGCGGCACACATACGGTTTGTGTATGCATTTACCATGAAAATGTCAAGCTTATGCTTAGTGGCCTAGATGTTTCAAGTCGAACGTCTGGTCTGATTACTAACTATAAGGACTGTATATTACCAATCGTTTGCAAAGAGAAAACACCTAACTATTACTAAAATAAATGTAAAAACTGATCTGGGATTGATCAGCTTAAGTTTAATTTAATACATTTAATGCAAAATGCTTCGATTGACAAAATTAAGTATCAAGTACTGTTAAATCAACATTACAAACTCACATTGATACTTACGAGACTTTTGTAAACGATTTGTTGTCTTATTTAATTAAGCTAAAAAGTAATTCATTTATCTCAAAATTACAATCTGCTTACTATAAATACGCAAAAAAATCATTAATATCAGGACAGTTTTTGATTTCGTTAGATTTCTCTTAAAATTACACATTTGTTACTCAAGACGCGGCGCAGTCTTTTTATTACAATAACAATCGATGCAGTTTA